CTTCTTAGAGTTTTGTTTTTTTTTTTTTTTTTTTTGGGTACAATAAACGTCATTTTTCTTTCTCCTTTCTCAGAGGTGGTCCTGGTTTTGGTCCTCGCTTTCCTGCACCTGGGACTAGGTATTCATTTATATTATTCTGCTTGTGTTTACATTAAGCTTCTTCCTCCTCCATCACCGCCAAACAATCGCATTCTAAATGCCTTCGATATGTGAACATGTTGTCTTTAACTCATTTTTGAACTTTTCTGCAGACCAGCCGCTGAACTTGGCAACCCATTGCGTGGCGGCATTCCTCCTAATGCCTGGCCTCTGGCAAGTTCACAAAATCTGGGCTCACATTCTAATGTTGGCATGCTTGGTTTTGGAAATCAGTTGCCTGCTAGGTCTGGGGATATTGTGTCTTCTACTCCAGTAAGAGCATTCATCACTTGTCTGATAGGTTTCCTATTTAGAAACCTCACTGAATTTTCCTAATAAGATTTTAATGAGGCAACTTTTGTTTTTAATACTCCAAAATAACTGTACTCATTTTCCTTCGTTTGATTTTTTTGTCCCAATAGATTAATTTTTTTTTTTTTTTTTTTTTAAAAAGATTTTCTTGAGGTTTTGACTAAAAACAGTAATTGTGATTTTTGCATACATGGATCCACATATTGTTGGGGGGCTATTATTGTTTTTCTGCACTATCAGGCATTTATTGTATATATAGCAACTTGTGGAATTATATCCACATTGTGCTGCTTATTTTTCTCCAATATTCAGATGTTTCTTAAATTGTATGTTGCGCGCATAAACTTTCAGGGCTCTATTGGTGTCCTTCCTGGCAATGTTGATGGCATGCATTCTGGGCCTGTGGTTTCTTCTGTACCTATGTCACAGATGGTATGTAGAATAATTATCCTACTTAGCTGGATGGGAGATTATATTTAATTTATCTTTCAAACTTGAAAATGTAGCAGGGAAGCGGTAGAAATAATGAAATGATCACGCTATCAAAATTCCATTTATTCCAAAGGAATATCGCAACACGATCACCTTCTAGTTTCTGTTGATTCCTAAGAATACCATAAATATATGCATCAAAAACTCTTTGATTCATGCATGAATTTAAACAATCTGGACTCGTTTGATATTTTATTTCAATTCAAAAATCACTCCATTGCTGTAACCCTTATTTATGATATCTAAAAAACCTAATTAATGACTAATTCTAATAGATGACAACTCTAATTAATGACTAATCTTAATTAACAACTAACATCTACATAATTTCTTCAAAACTGAAATTTGTTCATTTTTAACCAGTCTTGGCCTCAAGTTCCATCTGTTGGCCAGCAAGTATCACCGATACAGAGGCCACCATCAGGACAACACTTGCCATCTTCCTTGCAGTTACAACCTTTGAATGCGGCATCTTTCTCCAAAACACAAAGTTTGAATGGATCACACACTCAATTGGGTCAAATGCATTCAACTGGTCATAGTCCTCACAGTCAGGCTATACAAACACAACAGCTGCCTGGTTTGAGTGGGCAGTCAACTGTTCCTCGACCACAGATGCAGCATAATGCACCATCTGCCCCAGGACAAGGATCCGTGATGGAAAATTTTCAGCAAATACCTACTCAGCAGTTTCAACCTCTTCATCAATCCCAATCACCATTGGCTCAGATGGGGGGGGGGGGGGGGTGAATCTCTAGGTAGCTTTGTCCAAAAATAAAGTTTAACATGGTAGTTTCACCATATATCCTATATTGGCCCGAAAGATATTTATTTGATGCATGAAATCCAGTCTACTTCATTCTTTGATATGAAGCAACTCATTTTTATCCATAATCCCTATTTGTTAGCATGATTTTAAGATGTCAGCAATCTGATATTTTTGTATTAAATGGTTATCTTCTTCATTATGTTTACAGTGTAGTAATACTCACTCATTCATGTAAATGTTGGTGTTATCTTTGTACTTACTATGAATTATTTCACTACCACTATATTTTGTTGAGTGCATGTCATGCTAATATTGCTTATTGTTCCTCTAGTCTTCTTGGGCTGGAATTGCATCACAGACAGTTAACAGTACTGCTGGTGTCCAACCAGGAGATGTAGCTCCTCCTACATCTGCTTCTGTTAAATGTAACTGGACAGAGCATACTTCTCCTGATGGATACAAATATTATCACAACAGTACAACTGGTGAAAGCAAGGTAAAAGTCTTATCATCTGTCTGCAGTTTCCTAGCAACATGGCCTCTCATTATTATTGATTTTGGCAGTGGGAAAAACCTGAAGAGTTAGCACTCAGTGAGCAGCAACAGCAACAAAAGCCGTCTATCCAACAACGTGAAGTTCAGTCTCAGCCACAAGGACTATCTGTACAGCAAGGTCCTCAGACCCAAACAAACCTTCAAGGTCAATATCAGGCACAGTTCCAAACCCCGATCCGGCCATTGCAGCAAACTTCGCAATCACCCTGGGTCAGTATTTGTTGATTGTTGTGTTCTTAACTCTTCTGGTTTACAACCTTTTTACAATGCATTTCTTATTGTGTTACTTTAATATTCCAGTATCAGGTCCCTGGACCCACTAGTCAAAACTCTCAGGTAATTTGGGTGCGAAATAATTTTATTTATCTGTGTGTATGTATGTATTGATAAATGAAGTACAAAAGGAGGGGGACCTGGCACCTTACCTCCAGAATCAGTAATGGGGGAGAAAAAATGTGATTTTGGACAAAGATAAAGAGTGGAGGTACTACCTCCATTCCAAAGCATATGAGAAAGACTTAGAGAGATAAGGCTAATGCATTATTTTTTAAATCTGGCTTAGGTAGTTGAATTTGACATAACCTATTTTTTTAGTATGTTTATATCTGGAACTCCAATTGTAACTGTGATCCTTGGGGGCTGCTCTAGAAAGCTATTTTCCCTTTATGATTATAATTCTCTCTCTCTCTCTCGTATAGGCTTCTTGATAATTACAATCGTACATAGTATCCTCTTGGTTTCCCATAATACGTTATTAAATTCTACACTGATCTCCTCAACTTAGATCCACCACACACTAGCTCTCCCATCAATTTGGGGTTGGCAACATAATTTTTTTATTTTTTTGGGAATTTCATTCGCTTCATCACTACATCGACCTCAACTTCAGGTCAATGATATGAAGGGGGAAAAAAAAAAGAAAAAAAAAAAAAAGAAGCTCTGTATTAAAAGCCTTCACTGATACTGGTGGTATGCATACCGAGAACAATAAATAGGTTGTGCTCATTTCATACATCAGTGTATATGTACTGGTGAGATTTTTTATTTTATTTTTTTCTGGACTATTTGGAATCAGGAACTTCGCTTCCCACAGCCATCTGCAGCCATTGGTTCTATTAATGACCCAACACGTTATCAGCAGGTTGGACTTGATAAATTTACACACTCAATTATTTATTTTAAGTACTTTTATATTTCATTTGTCAAAATTTTTATTTGTTTTTATTCTGTCGTAGGGGTTCCAGTCTTCTCAAGAATGGATGTGGAAGAATAAGCCTACAGGTATTTTTGATAAACAGCAATGCAGACGCTGTTTGTTTCATTCTTTACTTTATGTTGAAATGTTATCTGTTGGTTACTTGACATAAATGAAAACTAAGCATACGGATATTTCTAACCATCTATCGATGTCTTCATCCATGTTTTTTGGTTTTGTTTTGCCTGCAAAAGACTGTTTTACAAGAATATTTATCCTCGTGGCTTTGATTCCGATCATGATCTCAATCCTTGGATTAAGGATTAATGTCTCATTTACCCTGCTCACCTCGAGGGTTTTATAGTACTAAAAACAGTGATGTCTGTCCATCAGAATATGACAACTCTCATGATCCCATGTTGTCCTCAGGAGCCTGATCCTGATTATCAAACAGATTGTGCGCTTAATACTGAACTGCGAGGCGGTTTCTGTTTGGGCGATGGAGACAAAGCATAGACACGAGCATCCTCTAATCCTGAAATTTACGGAACCGAGTTCTCGTTGTTGAGAAGTACATGTACGAGGCTGCTGCCCCATGAGTCGCTCATGACAATACTACATGATATGCTTAAATGCTTTAGAATTATATTACGGCATTTTCCTTGAGATTGTGAAAAATATGCGGTGTAGAAATCTTTTACGGGTGTAGAAGTTTTAATCTTGCTACTAGCCCAGTAGCCCCTGATGAGTTTCATCAATTTGCATTTTGTGGCTATTTTTTTTCTGTACGAGTTGCCTCATATCACGATAGCAGCATCAGATGTGCATTAGAGGTGCTATGGGTTCTTTATGCTGCCCACATACTTTGATTCGTAAACAGGTGATTCTGTTAAAATATTTTTTACTTTTCGTAACGGGGAGCAAGAATTTAGGAGGCACGTGTAGTGAACATGCATTCTTCTTTTGCTAGAATATTGACAGCAATTTCACCACCACTAGATACAGACGTCAAGCTTCCCATTTTCAGCATTGAGTTTTTGAAATCCTCGTAAAATGCTGTCGTATCATCCACGAGTCTGGATGATTTCACACGTCCCGTCATTGTCAGTGGCTAGCACCTGGTCAGACGCTAGTAAACCCTCGCCTGACAGAATGTTGACGTAGTATTATCATACGTTGATGCGGTCATATGATCAAGATCTGCAAGTGTTGTGTTAGAACCAGATCTTGAGCATAGTTGCTGGAGGGATTGTAAGAATTCCAAGTTGATGTCGGGTGAGTTTGCATTGTTGTTGGCGTTTGTTCGAGAGCCAAACGTTCAGCATCGAGCTTTTTCGATGGTGTGTGCACCTGCACATGCATAGAGAAGATGTGGCATTTTCTTGTTAAATGTATTCATGTATTTGTAGTTAACCAAAGGTGAAAATAAAGTGATTAAATCAAGGGAGGTTAATTACTAGAGGGTGCAACCATATCCTGGAGTGAGAGCGGTACATTTTGGAACTTGGCTACTAATGTGGACACCAGATTTTGGGCCTGGGATGTTGTTTATTGGCCGCTACTTTGTTCGCTACTTTGTTGGCACTTAAACTAGGGAAAAAATCATAATTCATGTGTATTATTTTCACCAATTCAAAAATCAGTTAGATATTTTAAAAATTCAAAATTCAGGTATATATTTAATTAATTAAAAATATTAATTAAATAAATATAATAAAGACATAGTTATACGATTAATGGTCACAGATTCATAATTATAGGTCATGGATTTATTTCCTGGTAACATATAATAAAATTAATGTCATGGATTATTTTGTGGTCACAAATAAAAAATTTTGTAGGTCATAAATTATTTTGAAGTTATATATCATTCAAATTTTGGTCACAGTTTATTTGTCACATATTTTCACATTTATTAGTCACAGATTATTTTGAGGTTATAGATCCTTCAAATTTTTGGTCACAGTTTATTTATGTCACATATTTTCACATTTATTGGTCACAGATTATTTTTTTAGTCACATTATCGAATTTTAAAGATCGCAGGCCAAATCATTGGTCACATACATCAAAGGCTCCACCAACGATCCTAATTCACAACCAATACTTGATCACAGAGCAATTAAATAGTTGATCATAGTTACTATTACATCTCGCCTCGCCACACCACTACTACAACCACAGCCAATAACAACAAAAACGATCATCAATTGCACCACACCACAACGCAAGTTGTCTAATGACTTCTATGCACTAAATCAAAAAATCAACTTTACTTTCCCTCACAAATTAAGACCAGAAGGTACTAGGCAGTAGGCAGCAATGGCACATGCCTGCCATCTGTATCATTATAAACACACTATACCCCACTTGATGCTGCCCTTTTCAATGGTGAAAATGAAAAACTAGCTCCAAACATACTTTTATGATCTCTCTCTCTCTCTCCGTGTCTTCCTTTTGTTTCGGTAGTTTTGAGAAATATTGAAGACAAAACCATTTAATCCATGCTCAGAAATAAATAGAGAAAGTGTGACTGTGACAGAAAGATTAAGGAAAAGGAAAAGATAGCAGAGGAAGGCCAAATGCGTAGCACACCACACCATACCATCGTGATGTTGCCTCCACCTTACACCACAGAGAGAAAATGCCTCCACCTTACACCACAGAGAGAAAACAACACCCACATGCCTCCACCTTACATCACAGAGGGAAAACAAACAGAATAGTCGCCGATGAGATTGATTCAGAGCTTCGCCGTCATTGTGAATTACCATCGCCGCCGTTGCTGTTGGTGGCAATGGTGGTGGTTTATGGTAGAGAGAAGGGAGAAAATATAGATGGTAGAGAAAGGAACTAGGGTTGAAATTGAATTTGGGTGAAATAGTTAATATTTAAATTATTAAATCAATACCTGATTTTTGAATAATGAAATTTCGGCCTTGATTTCTGAATTGTAATGTTTAAAGCCTTGGTTATGTAATTTCCACCTAGAAACGACGACTACCCGAGCTAATGATAGAGGCAAGAACACTTTCCGGCTAGGCCTTACTATAACAAACCTCACAGATCCAACTCAATCAGAGTGAGGTCCGCTCCTTCGCTCCTGCCCCCCACCTGGGAGTCAGGAGCTTACTAATAAACTATCTTTCCGGCCCATTTGTACCTCCCATCCAGGCCCACCTGTCTGAAAATTGAAGTCCATTGACAAAGAAAATTATCAAATTCAGCTGAAAGTATTTTGATTAAAAACAATCAAATTTAACTAGATCATCCCTACTGAGTATTGACACACTCTGAAGTGAAGCATAACTAGGGGCATGAAAATGTGTTGATCTGCTTAGGCATGAGCAGTCCGACACTAGTCTTGGTCTAGTTGCATGGGTGCGTGGCTCATCGGTGTGGACTGGTCCACTTGGGCCTTTATTTAAAATTAAAAACTATGTAGGTCTATGAAAAAAAATGAAATTAGAGCCTGATCCTGTCGTGCCGATGGGCAATTCCAGGCTGAAGTATATAAGGCGCCGAGTGGGTAAATGGTGTATGGCACAGGCTACCTCAAAATCGTAATGTAACGAAGAGGCGATACTGATTTAAACCTCTAATTCATGTCGTTCGTATATTAGGGTATACGTGACATGGAGGAGTTAAACATATAATAGTAACTATTTTAACCTGGTACTTAAAGCATCCAACACAATAAATAGGAGAATATGTACCAAAACAATAGAATCTCTTGCGGCAACAGCAAGAATACCAGCACAAGACAGACAATCTGAGGACAAACATATTCAAGATCAGCTTTTATTGCATCAATAACTTCAAATCCCCTTAGTGAGTTCTAGTTTGGTGCTGCAGTTCTTTCTCCGGCATATTTTGGTGTCATCCAGTAAAACTGAAGCATCACATCCCTAGAAATATGTATTGCGCATTAATCATAACAAGAAATAATGAGCGAAAATGAGTTCATACTTGTTATGTATTTGGCAAGGTGAAGTAGAGAGCATTGAACGCAACAATACTATTTACTCAGTCATGTTGAGTATTGAATACCAAACACATTCAGCAAATAAATTAAGATAGATTGACAACTCGCATTAACAAAGCAATCGTGAAAATGGAGTTGCAGCAAAAAAGCAGCCATTCTCGGGTCATCAGAAACCGCCTTTTTGACCCTTCAAAAGATTATAGGTTCTGCTTCAGGACTACTATTTTGGTAGAAACAAAAGCTTAATACAATAGTGGCACCATCAATGCATGACTCATTCCTCAGGATGCTAGCAAATGCTCCACAAAATTTCAGCAAAATCATGTAGGCACCTAAGTAAATGGTCAATTTTTTAAACAATATTTAAAGGGAGATTTTGAAGATAAAAGTGATAGGGAAAACTGCAATTCATACAGATGTTGGTACGTAGATTTTGAGAGTGAGGATAAGAAAAAATTGGTTAAAAAAGACATAGTCAAGCTAAGAAATGGTCAGTTTGTATGTGGATGATGACAATAGTCTCACCTAATGCCCATGTGCTTCTGATACAAACTAAAGGTTGAACCCCAACCTTAAGGGCTCCCACCGACCCTGCCTTGGGTCATCGTGGAGGAGGTAAATCGCAGGATGTGCCTCCCAGGAGCCAGGGTGGAGAGCACATGGATAGGCCAAGGCTGTTAACCCATATGGTAACTCCCGCTTGCAACAAAGTCAATTCCACCTTGCGGGGAATCGAACTCTGCACACTGCCGCGCTGAGCCCTATCCGCCCTCCCCTTTACCACTAGGAGATATGCCCTGGGGGCAAAAACGGGCTGTCAAATGTAGGTGTTAAATATGATACAAACTAAATATGATCTTGAAGTGTTCCTTTGAAACGATTCGATCTAAATAATACGTCAATCTTCGCATAAGCCTAACCTCTGGCTAAAGGCACAAAAATATAACTATGGTTCCTTATCATTTTGGGACTCCATTTTAGACCTAAATTAAAGTCTATAATTATGAATCTTTCATTTAATTAAAAGGAAGAGGCTAGAGATACAATCTTGAATCAAAATTACACATCAAAATACATTAAATTTTCAAGATTTGTATCTCGATTTGAGATTTGAAGGTTGATTAACACAGATTGGCCGGAAGATTTACGAACTTTGAAGAGGAGCTTGATGATTTATTGTTGAAATTAAGTGCCAAAGAACAACAATTGCTAGGATTCTTTTCTTTATAATTACTTGTATTGACACGGACTCGGTGAAATTGAATTTTCCGTTGAGATGTGGAGTACCAACAGCAACCCGATTCTTTTATTATCAATCTCAATAAATGATTGGCTACATAATTTGTTGTTAGGATAAATGACATAACTTAGGTTAATATTTATTTAATTCAAATGGTTTAATATAATTTTGACTGTGTTGAATATTATTTGCTATGTGGATATATTCTTTATGTAAATAAAAAAATAAAATAAAATAAAACAAAATAGGGCCCATTAACATTTCACGTGGTGTGATTATGGATGTCTAACCCTTAAAAATAAGGTCATGTGCTACTAACAATTTTATGCCTTGTTTGGCACATATTCTCTTTAAAATCATTTTCCCCCCAAAAATCCTACACATTTATAAGACTTGATAAGTGCACATGTGAACTTATTTAGGGCGTCTTTACTTGCTTATTTATGATTAATTAAGCAATAATCTACTTAATTTAGGTTAAATGATGTTAGTTGTAGGTAAACCCCCAATTAGGATTCACCTGGACGAAATTGGCAAGAAATAAGTGAAATTGGAGCTTAATTGGGGATGGTTTGAAGCACTTGAGGATCAAATTACATGAAAGTATTAATGGAGTAATTGGTGGAAATTCATAAAATTTTGGGATTTAAATTCAACAATTAAAAAGTTTGAGGACTAAATTCC